ACGTTTGCATCCTCCCTATCCATTTTCCTTTACACATTTTTCTTGTATTAACTTGCTACCCAGTATCACTGCAAATGTGAAGAGCTGATCTTAAGCTCCCACTGGTTTGTGCTGCAAGGAAAGGACTGTTATATTTCCAGCAAAAGCAGATCTGTTGGTCACCAAGCAGCAGGTTCTAACATCTGTCTGTTGTGGTGGTTTTTGTGCTGCCCAGCACAGGACAGTCACGTACTGTCAGCTCATCTGTGTCACTGCTCTGCACAGAGCTATCAGGATTTTTAGTGGTGAGGACAGTTAGATGGCTGCTGTAAAAGGTAAAAAATAAAATAAAAAATGGGAGCATCTGCAGTGTGTTAGAAGAGCTGGGCTACCTATATCCAGTAGGTGCTACAGAGATCGAAAGCCTCCACCCATTTCCAGAGATGTGTTCAAGTGATCAAGGATAAGAGCTGTAAGTTAGCTTGAGAGAACATTAAGGGGAATCAAGAAAAGATGGGGGTGGCTCAGCAGTGTGCTTCAGGGAAGGAGAATCCCACCTTGCAAAGGTGGGAAGAAGTGTGCTGTGCAGAAGCAAGGACTGTGTGCAGGGAAGGTAAGAGAAAGGAGAGGATAGGGTGATGGGCAGAGGGCACACTTACAGGCAAGCAAGGACATGGGGTATTTTATTCTGAATGTGGTGCCAACCACAGAGGTGCACTTTACTGTGTCCTCACCTCAGAGGTAAGTGGGAAGAGTCTGTAAGAAAAGCCACAGTTTTATTATGGGTCTTCAGTTACTGTGTCTGTTCTCCCTTGAGGTCTTTTTGGAGACAAATAAAGAAGCAGATCAGAAACAGTTAAACAAACTGATTGATGTGTCCTTACAGTGTTCAGATTTGAAGGACCTCTGTTCAAAGCTGGGTCAGCTCTCCTTTTAGATCAGGTTGCTAAATGAAAAGCTAGATATTAGTTCAGTGAGAAGAGATAACACCTGCAAAGGTCCCTCAGAATTGGTCCTCATGTGGCAGAGAACTGTCTCTGATGCAAAATGCTGGATGGGGCTTGGGCATGGGCATGGTCTATTTGTCACGGGGCTGTGTTTGTGAAGTGCTAGTAAAGGTGCCTATCTATCAAAGCCATGTTCTAACCAGACTAATAGTTGCCTTGCATGCTGTCTTTTATGCAGACAATGTACAAAGCCAGCCAAGAAAGCGAGTGCTATGTCATAGATGCAGAGGTGCTAACTCACGACGTCCCCTACCATGATTATTTCTACACCATTAACCGCTACACACTGACTCGTGTTGCCAGAAACAAAAGCCGACTCAGGTACACTTCTGGTGGGATGAACAGCTTTACTGACAAGCAAAAGTCACCTTTGGGTGGGAGTGCTTCCCTTGGTGCATTAGGAGGGATGGGGAGAACTGAGCTTTGTGTCCTTGTTGCCAGAAAACTCCTGTTGCAGACAATTAGCATGGAGCAGCTGCCTGTTGTGGCAGCACTGAGGAAACAGTACAGTTGTTGCAGAGGACTTGTGGTTGGGCCAGGGAGAAGATCTGCAGATTGAATTCTTTGAAGCAGTTGTTTGCAGGAGCAGCTGCCATACGCAGCAAACAGAATGCACTAAGCAGCAGGACGTACTTGCAGGCTGTGCCTCTGTGAAGCACCAGGAATTTGGTATTAGGAAAAACTGTAGGGCTTGTGTTTCACTCTGCTAAGTAATCTATATGCCTGCCTGCACATGGCCAGGGGTGTTGGGAATCCTCTCAGGTGAAGCTCTCTTGAAGCCTTCCTGCTTTTGGAAGGACTTTTCATGCGGTGTTTCTGATGTGGAAACACAAAGGAAAGAAACCATTCCAGAGATAAGTGTGGGCATGATTGATTTTCATGTACACATTGACAAAGGACTGGGAATTGATGTAACCTCTGGAAGGAAAATGGAGAGTGACTTCTCCTTCTTGCAGGGTTTCCACAGAGTTACGTTACAGGAAACAGCCTTGGGGGCTGGTAAAATCCTTCATTGAGAAGAATTTCTGGAGCGGCCTGGAAGATTATTTCCGTCATTTAGGTAAGGGTGGCAGTGACCAGAGCTGCTGCAACGACAGCAGCACTCTCAGTAGCTTATGCATGTCTCCTATAAGCAGGCAGTGTAACAGTGTGGTAGCTGCTGCTGGCCTGCTGGGGATTAGACTTCAGAGAGGCTTTTAAATGGGGTCAGCCAAAGTTACTGCCCAGTATCTGGCAGCACCTGCTGATCATCAGCTCCTCTCTAACATGAGTGTGGGGTAAGGGTTTGGCTGAAGGTGTGGGGGATCTGTAGTGTGTACTGTGGCACAGTCATCTCATACCCCAGCAGTCAATACCTGAACTCCATCCAGCTGCTGTGCCAGTAGAGAGCTCAGAGTTTGTATCGTTGCAATGCTAGTTCCGCTTCTATTAAATGCTTTCTCTCCTCGTTGTCACTGCAGAAAGTGAACTGACCAAAACAGAGAGCACCTACCTGGCTGAGGTCCACAGACAATCCCCCAAAGAGAAAGTGAGCAAGCAATCAACAGTCCGCCGGAGGAAACGGGCCCATGCCCATCTGCGGGTGCCGCACTTGGAGGAGGTGCTGAGCCCTGTCACCACCCCCACAGATGAGGAGGTTGCTCACCGAATCAAACACGTGGCAGGTAAGGAACCACAGACCCCTCACACTCAGGGATGGAGAGCTGGACAAGCCCTGGAGACAAGCTGGAAGTTTGCTCACGGAGAGTTAAAGGAGAGAAAAGCCTGGGCTTTCCAGAGCAGTGGATCCCTGAGTATTGTTTTGAATAAGGTAGAGGATCATGTAGTAGGAAAACGTAGGAAAAACAGTGCCCTCTCCATGGGACAGCATTTCATAGCCTACACACACCTGTCTCCTCAGGTTCCACACAGACACGGCACATCCCCGAGGAGAGCCCCAGTGGCTTCCACCTGCAGAGCGTTTCCAAGCTGCTCCTTGTCATCAGTTTTGTGTAAGTGATGTTTTTTATTTTAACTCTGCCTTCACAGTCAGCCGTTAACTTTTTCCTCTCATGTTTCTGGTGTTCTCTGCTCCTGTCAGTGTTCTCACTAGATCAGCAGCAAGAACCATATTCAGTCTGTCTTGGGCTTGCTGGATGTGTGCTTTGAGTGAGCCTTATATTCCCATGACTCAGTCTTCATGTGGAAAGGGCAGGAGTGGTTATAGCTTCTCTGCCTTCTGGCCTGCCTGTAGCTTTCATGTGCTAGTGCTGCAGCTGTAGCTGGGCAGGGCTGAGAAGCAGTACAAATTAAAGCAGCAGTCCAGGTACAGCAGGTGTTTTTATTGCTAAGGAAGCTGAAGGCATAATATTAAAACTGTGGAGGAACAGCAGAACTTGTGGTCACTCTTTTCATAGGCTCCACTCGTCCTTTAGTGAGGAGGCTGAGATTGGCAGACTGGGGTTAGTTAGTTTTTCTGCATTTTTTTCCCTAGGGGGAGGAAGGCTGCAGAAGTTTACAGCTACAACTCAGAGCTGTTGGAGAAATATGGGCCTTTGTGACAGTTTTGGGCAGGCACCTGGTGCTGCCTTCTGTGGTTAGACAGGTGAATGGCAAGGCACAAAAACTTTCTCTTGCAAGCTGCTAGCTTAGCTTAGAGCCCTCCATGTGCTAACCCTGTGTGCTGAAAGCAGTGGTTTGCACAGCCTGTGGTGGCATTCCCACTTCAGCACAAAGCAAGAGTGGGGAGTGCTGGCTGCAGCGTGCCTTTACGTGGCAGTGCCCTGCATGAATGCTCTTTATAGGTGCCTGTAAGAGCCCCACAGCCTGTCTTTTTTTTGTGGTTGAATTTCACCAGTAATTGCAAGCCCACAGTTTGTTCTTTCCCTCTTGAGTCTCTTCCCACTGTTCCTTCCTGCCCTCCTCCCTGCTATTTATCTTCTGTACTGTGAGCCTTCTCTGCTCAGCCCAGTTTCTCCTATTCTGTGTCAGTCTGTTTCTAACCTGCAGCTACTCCGTCTTTTCTCTTCCCTGCTCCCATTAGGATCTGTTTCAGGTACTGTCTTTCTCTCTCTCTCTCTTTTTCTTTTCTTTTAAACCTCCTTATTCTCCTATCCTCCCCTTCTCCACATTCAGCACGTCCACTCATTCAGTCTGATGCATCAGTCATTGCTATCTGTCCTCCTTATACATCTCTCTCATGTGATGAAGTTTTGGGTTCTGCTTTCTTGGCCTTTACTCAGAGTAAATCCTCACTGACACACAGCATGGACCTGGGTCCCAGGAACCTTGAGAAAGCCCTGGGTGTTTTCCCAGGTTTGACAGGCAGGCAATGGAGTAGCAGCACTCACAGTAAATGACTGCTTTCTTTATTTGCAGCCTGGTGTTGCTGGTCATTCTCAATATGATGCTGTTCTACAAACTGTGGATGTTGGAATATACCACCCAGACGCTCACAGCATGGCAGGGTTTGCGGCTACAGGAAAGGTACTGTCACACCACCTTTGTTTTTACTTCTTCTTGCATGTTTCCTGCTGGTGTTAGAGACATCAAAGCTCAGGGCTACGTGGTAGATTGTTTCTCTTTTGTATGTAATAGATGAAACATGTAATAGGTGAAGCAGGTAATTAGCTCCAGCTACTTGTTGGGGAAAAGCCCCTCCCTCTTCCTCTCCTTTCCTCTTTCTCTCCTTCCCTCCCCCTCTTCGTCTCTTTTCCTCTCCCTCTTCTCTCTCCTCCTCTTCCTCCCCTTCTCTCTTTCTTCCTCCCCCCCTCTTTCCCTCCATAGTTAAGTATAGCATTTAACATACATGCTCTATGCCCCTGTACACACAACTTTGTTGTGTTTTAACTGCAGTTGCTGTGACCTACACCAAACCCACCTGCTGGGTCAGAAATAGTCTGTGCTCACCCTGAGGCTCCCCTGCCCATTCCTTTGTATCCGTGTGACTTACAGTTGGCAGGGACTCACTGTCCCACATATCCCACATATAAGTATAATCAATGCTCTTCCTTTAGACAAAGAAAGCAACAGTTGTTAGAAGTAGACAGCTATTTATTAGAGATTGAGAGTGCATCCATTTTTAAATTGCAGTAGCTTTTTGTTGTTATATTTTAAATGTCTTTGCTTCATATCCATGTTTGGAGCTGCTTGAGCAGGACAGTTGCAAGCACTCAAGCTCCTGGGAAGCTTGAGCTCCTGGAAAGATCACCAGGACAGGTTGCTACTCACAACCGAGAGGCTGCAGCAAACCAGGCAAGTAGGTGAAGCACGACTGGCTCAAGGTGAGGATAAATCTCTGCAAAACAAGGAGCATCCCTGAAGCAGTCAGCAATAGCAAATGAGCAGTGGGTGCTAAGTTAAGAGAAGAACCTCTGTTAAATTATAGCACTAGGAGAAAAAACAAACATATCTGAGAGGTTATAGCCATAGGAAGGCTATCCACTCAGTTTCCAGGGAGGACACATGAAAATCTCCACTACATCCTGTAAAGCTTAAGAGGTATAAGACAGGCAATAGCTAAGAGAGGAGGGATTCTAAGAGGTAAGTTGAAGACAAAGCAATGATTTAGTTGTTTTACAGATAAGCAAAGCCCAAGAGAATAAAGAAGAGACACCCAGCAGAAGACCAAAGCTTATCTACAAGCTTACCTACCTTTAGAAACCAGTGAGGCCCAAGACAAAGCAATAGAGTTAGATGAGGGCATACAAAGTACCTCTCCAGGGAGAAGTGTGCAAAAAGGGCCCTGATATGCCCTGAAGTCTTCCTGCAACTGTCTTGACTCTGTTCCTCCTCACATCTTTATGCTCCATGGAGATTTATCCTCACCTTAGCCCAGGCAAACTCCACCTGCTATTCAGGCACACTGCTTGCACCTGCTTGAGCCCCTGAATTGCAGCTCAGGGCAGCCAGTCCTGGGGATCTTCTCATCAGTAGCTTGAGTGCTTGCATCTGGAGGATTGATTAGGCCTGAAAAGAGGAGACAGTAATTAAGAGATAAAGAATATCTGACATTAAGACTGACACAGCAGGAAAAAAAACCACCCCCCAAAATATGGAAACTGTTCAGGATTACCTGTCCAGCTGTGTTACATTGCATTCCCCATCAGTGTCATGGTGCTACGTCCTGCTGTACTCATCTCCCAGGCAGTGACAGCACACTGCCCCCCTGGCACATAGGCATTTGGTTCCAACACACTACAGCTCTTCTGCAAAAGACACCTTTGCTCCTAATTACCACAGTTAAGGTAGCAGTGATAGGCAAATGTTAAGAGAATTTGCTTCTTTCAAGTGTGAGGATTTAACAGACACTGATGCTATCTACCACCCCCTCACCTGCTGGTCCACTTTGCTCATCCTTGCCTAAGTAGTTTCCCCAGATTCACTCCTGCTCCTATTCTGCTTGGCAGGTTACCCCAGTCACAGACAGAATGGGCCCAGTTACTAGAATCTCAGCAGAAGTATCATGATTCAGAGCTACAAAAATGGCGTGAGATCATCAAATCCTCTGTGATGCTTCTAGACCAGGTGAGACCACACATCCTAGCAGCACTGTGAGCAGACAGTCACCGTGTCCTCCCAGCCCATCACCTGCAATCCCTCAGCCTTACATGGACCACTGCAGCCCATCAGGTGCATTGCCTCTGTCCCATCTCCCTTTAAGTCAGTCTTCTGCCACTGGGTTGGGCAGGAGGTCCCAAGGGCTATACAGATGGGTTCTCTATCATCTCACAGGCATCCAGACAAGTCAAGGAGAAAATCCTGCAAGGCCAAAGCCTTATATTAGACAACACAGCTTGTATCTAGTCTCTGGCATCTGAGAGGGTGCTATAAAGACCTTGGCACACTGTTTGCAATGCAGAATTTTTCTCCTTGACTCTGGGGTCGTATGTAGCTTACAGGGACAAAGGCACAGGCCCTACACAGCACAGATGCAGCCGTTTTAGAACCCATTCCCTCAAGAACAGCTAAGACACCAGGCAGCTTGGAATGGTATTCATAAATGAAAGAAGCTGCTGTTCCCTAAGGTGAGTGCCTGTTACCCTGTGCATCACTCTGCTCGACCCTTATTTGTTACCTCACTGGCTCCCACCTCCTGATTGCCCTGTCGGTTGCCCAGCCCTGCTACACAAGTCCCAAAAAACAGATGTTTATTGTATCAATACTTAGATGGATGGAGGAGGCACCGATGAGGAAGGAAATCCCAAAGTGCTGTCACCTTCAGGGTAGCACATTGGAGACGTTTCTTGTCTTGCAGATGAAGGATTCACTAATAAATCTCCAGAATGGCATCGGGTCCCGGGACTTCGGGTCAGATCCAGAGGAGAAACGGAAACGTTTCCACTAACAGGCAGGAATGCAGGAGGCCAGAGGACGGTGTGCAATATGTGTAAATAGGATATATAAATATATATATATATAAATATATATACAGAATATAAATATATATATTATATACAGATTTTAAGAGGAAAAAAAAAAAAAAAAAGCCTACGTACTGAGAGGAAGGACTGACCTCCAACACTGGCTGAAATGGAGAGTCTCAGTGGTAGTGTGGGGTGTGTGTGTGCGTGTGTGTGTGTATGGGAGGGCTGTGCTCTCCTGGCACTGAGGTGCACTTAGGGATGCACCCAAGTGTGCTACCCTGGGCCTGTTTGCACCACTGTTCTGTAATATTCCTGGCTGTTTGTCTGTCTGTTTTGTTTCTGTCGTTTCAAAGGGAAGCATCAGAGTGAATGCCCCTCCCCTCCCTGTGCATGAAGGTCCCTGACTGACGATCTGTATCTACACATATAAAGGGAACACTGTCAACTTTCTTACCTTGCTGGCTTCAGGGCAGAGAGGTTTTGGCAATCACCGTCAATCCCTTACAAAATGATCCCCCATTTGGAGAGGAGGCTTCCAGAGGAATTGCTGTAGGTCTGTGGAGAGCGGGTCTCCCTGGCAATCATCTTCTACGTCTCTTGGAGCAGAAATGCAATTTGCTGCCATGCTGGCCAGCCTGGTTCAGAGAGCAAAGCACAGAATGTAAATGAGCTTGAAATGCTTTCTCCAAACACTTAGTTTGCCTCCTCCTGTATTTGATAGTGCATTAACAGCCAAGGAGAGGGCAGGGAGCAGGAGTATCTGCCCACATGGTGCTTGGAGGAAGGAGAGCCACACTGCAGAAAGCACACTTCCATTTCTTTTGACAGTGTCCCCTTTACTTTTGCTGTGGTTCTCTGCTTTCTGTGTGCTTGGGCCCCTGCCATTAAGCCATTCCTGTGCTGAAGATCTACATTGGTGCTGATAAGGGCTGCCTGTGGGACTTCTCACAACGGGGAGAGTTCCCCAACTCCAAAAGAAAACCAAAATGAGTATTTATATGTGAGCACTCCTTCCTGCCAAGCTGTGTGCTATCAGCACAACGTGGAGTGGGAGAGCTAAGGAAGCAGCAGAACTGTTCTTGCTGTCCTGCTTGGTAGATTTACCTCTCATCCCTGGTCTGCGAGATCCTTTTGCTTGTACCTCTTAGCTCTCATCTTTACTTCTGAGCTACAAAGGAAACAAATTCTTTTACTTCAGCAGTGACAGCAAAAAGGATATCTTTGCTTTTGATACTTACATGCCTGCATCTACAGCTGCAGGGCCTCCATCAGCCTAGGAGAGATAAGGAAGGGCCCCTGGGAATAAAAAAGACAGAAAAAGTACAACCAAGGGGTGTGGGATAGGCGTGGGTGATACCCACAGTGTAAGGTAGTGACTGGAATCTCTCCTAAGCTAGACAGCACTGCGTTGGCTCTCTAAGCAAGTCAGGTGGCAGACCTGCATTAAAAAAATAGTATGCATTTTTACTTCTCCTAGGGCATTTCTCCAGATTCCTATTAGCAGCCACGTGAGGGGAGAGGGACTGTGCTCTGGGTAGGATGGGGGCTGCAGGAGTAAGCAATTAATAAATGCCTTCTCATCTTACCCAACCCGGTAGGTTAGGTGATGTGCTCAAGTCTCCATCTTTGTCCAGAACCTTTGTTCAGAACCAGGCCATGTCCACCTCCTAGATGGCAGGGAGGAATCAGCTGTGTGTTCCCCACAAGAAATGGTGCAGGTCTCATGTGTCCATTGGTCTCTTGCTCTAATTGGCACTGAAGGAGCAGGGGACAAAGGTGAGTGTTTTTTGCATCTTCGTATAGCAGGAATACAAATCCACACAGCTGGGGAAAACCCTCACAAGCTTCAGCATATGGAGCCCAACCAATGGCAAGGTACCACTGTTAGAAGTAACCTGCTGATTTCTCCCAGCCTGCCTAATAATTTAATGACCAAACACTAGACACAGTATGAGCTAGAGAAGAAGACTGATAAACAGGTTATTGAATGCACTTAAAAGACTGTGAAAGCAAGGTACAATTGGCAATGCTTCAAGAACTAGGGAGTAACTTGCATTTATGACTGTTTCATTTCATGCTGCTGACTACTGTGATGCTCCCTGACTTTTTCCAGGGATGCTGCTGAAATGGCTGCTATACAATGAATCTGAGCTGCTAGAGCCTGAGAAGGGCATCCTGCTGCTCTTCACCTTGGAACCAGGGGGCCCCAGTTCCCTGCTGCTGCCTTGCCACACTGGCTGAGATGCTCCTTCACCAGTTGCCAAAGCACAGAAAAATGCTTTGCAGCCCATCTTGCCCTCTTTTAGTATTTAATTCCATAGGGTAGGAAAAAATAAAGAGAGAGGAAGGCCTGTGTTTGCTGCCTAGCCAGAAAAGAAAACGCAAGAGAAAGAAACCTGGAATGGGGGTCTTGGCAGCATGGCCAGCAAACTTCTGTACATACACAAACATAACCCAGCAGAGGACAGAAAGGGTCCAAAATAAATGCCAGTAGCTAGAGCTGCCTGCTTACCATTCTCTTGCTAGTTATGGAGGCAAGAAATCCCTTTGCTCATTGGTGCATCCTCCTTTCTCTGCAGCATCTCCGCAGACTGCGGTGATTCTGGCTGTTCCCACTGGTACAGCTTCCTCGGGCTTGGGCTTGAAGACAAATTAATGTTACACACAGGCAGCTGTTCATTAGCACTACTGTTCATTTTACCTGCAGATTAAACTGAGTTTAACATGTTTGACATAAATAATCTGTCCAGCAAGTGGAGCTGGTTTGGATGTGCTGAATTTTGGCAGCTACAAAAGAGACTGTCAAAGAAACATGGCTCCAGCCAAATGTGAGCATTCATGCCAACAGAGTGGCCTGATTTGTGCCAAGTAAGATGCTACCTATCAGCAGGAGGGAGATGACGAAGCTCTACTTGCCAGTTTGTCTATGTCACCTGCTTCTGTAGGAGAATACATCACTAATCCTAGCTTGATAGGATTTTAATAAACACATACCTTTTAATGATTACCTAGAAGGAAATGTTTGGATTATGGCATCTGGGATGAGCTCAAGGTGAATTTGAGCACTTTCCCCTTCAGACAGACCATTTGTTTCAGGAGCTCACCTGGATGTAGATGGGGACAGACTTCAGCCTGCTCATCCCCTCAGCACAAAACTATGTAGCCTACCCATATATGCTTTTACCCACCTTTATAGGAGCCAGTAGAAAGTTCATTTTCCAATCTGCAACTGGGAACACAGTGCCAGTACTTAAGATGAGACCTTTTGGATATGCTCTGCAATGATTTCTGTGACAGGTAGGCATGCAGTACACCAAAGCTGAGTAAAAGAAACATCTGCAAGCCTCATATTTTGGCTGCATGTAAGAAGTGCTACTCAGAAGTGCATATGTGCAGGCTGTGCTGAGTGCAGCCCTTCCTTGCCACATGGCCTTTATCCCTCTTCCTTTCCTGCTAGCTTTGCCTTCTCAGATCTGTATTTCAGAAGCACCTGTATAGAGGAGACAGAGCAGCCTGCAGCTTGTATCCCCCCCCAGCACCAGGAAGGAGCTCCAGGCTGAGGTGGTTCTCTCCATACTACTCAAGAGTGGGAAAACTTTTGGGACTCTTCTTCCTCTTGGGTTCATTTACATAGAGTTGATTTACATCAAGTTAGAATGCGAGTTCACACGTATACAAACTCCTCTGTGAATGCTGGTCTCCAGGTCTATTACAGTGACCTGGGAAGAGGCTCTGACCCCAGTAGGTATTCCTTCTTACCATGTGGCTAACTAACATGCTGAGTCCTACTCTGCTACCACTGCGAAGAGGCCATGCTCTTCTCTGTAAGAACATCCCTAGTTGCATTCCCATGCTTGCTCCCAGGTGAGGTATGTACCAAACTAACCATTTTCCAGCATACAACCAGGCAGCTCTAAGTTTCCTTTTCCCAACCAGAACAGCAGGTTGACGACTTTCTAATTTAAAAGCTAGAAATTTCTGGTTCCACAGAATGCTGAAAGTGGCACAGAACTGAAGCTGCAGTGCTTGGTGCTCACAGCATTGCTGGCTCGGGGCAGGAGGGGCAATTCTGTCATGTTTCTCAGGGCAGCTGGCAGAACTGTGTTGGCAAAACTTTGAGGTATGTGCTCACAGGGTCTGCTGCCATTGAGAGGTTTTGTGGTGGGCTTGTGTAGATTCTGGCTTGGTCTTTTCAGTCTCAGCACTAGTTTAAATATCCAGTAGGGGCTTGCTTAAAAACAATACTCAAAACAGAGACTCTTAAACCAAAGCACCCGAGGTAAGTAGCTTGCAAAACATTCGTGTCAGCGTAGTTGCTGAGGTGTAACTGTGCTGCCTATTTGGCCCGTTCCCTCTGCCTGGCATGCTCTGATCTCTGTGCTTTGCACCCTCCCCTGCACGAGTCTCTTTGTGCCATAATACCTTTCTTTTTTAGATGTGCACACTGGCCAAATAATATCCTCATGTCTTTACTGACTGCCGACTGAGATTATTCCCTGACCTAGCCAGACAGCATGGGCTTCAACCTCTGCATGGATCCTGGTGTGCCATGCTTCCCCCTCCCACACCTTTCGCAGCGCTTGCTATGGCTTTTTCCTCTCCCACACACCTCTGCTGCCAGACAATCATTCCCTTTGTCATGGATGGACTGACCTGGTGCTGTCCCTGCTTGCCTTCCCTTGATGCTGTCTGTTTGCCCTTTAAGCGAATGTGTTTTGTTTGTTTCCTTATTTTATTTTTCAGTAGGGAAAAGACTTCCTTCTGTGGAAGGAGTGATATTTGCACATGGCTCAGGGAGGTAACCTCCTCTGGCCGTTTCTGTTACCTCACTCATGTAGGCCAATTCCATTGCTAACGTTAAATGGCCACCCTTCCCCAACCCAAACTCCAAGAATCGGTAGGGAATAAAACAAATGTGCAGCTCAGGTTCTACAGCTGCTTGGTCGTGTCTCAGACTCGGCCCAAACTGCCCCAGCAGCATTAGGAGGTGGGAGAACGGCTGTTGCAAAACAGCTCTACCCAGCGAAGAGGTGGAGACTGCGCCACACATGTGCATTCCAGTCTTTGCAAGCCCACCTCCCTTGAAATAGCACTTAGCAGAGCAGATACAGCAGCACTAACCTGGCTCTTGGCCCGACGAGCTCAGAGCAGAGGGAGGAGCAGCAGAACCATCGCAGCGTACATCTCTGACCACCAGGACTGGCACTGTGTGGCTGTGGCACCTCTGGGACGTCGTCACTCTCACAGCAGTTCATCTCATCACATGCTCCAGGGCTGGGTAAAGCTGCTAAACACCCTGGAGTGTGTTCTGCCCACCTGAGCCCCAGATCCTGCAACCCCCAATTGCTGCCCTTAATGGCAGATGAATGAGGATCTCCTCTTGTCAGCGAGGCGAGGGAAACGGTCACACCGACACCCATGGGTGTGGGCTTCCCTTCTGGATATCAGCACCCGGGAAGCAGAGGCTGTTGGCCACAGCCTGCAGCAGTGATGTGAACTTCAGGGTGGGCCGGGGGAGGACCCGTGGTTTTGTTTTAGGAGTTGTTTAACTGTCATCAGGTTTGCGCTGTGCGCAAAACGCGAGAAAATGATGATGAAACTTACCTGCTAGAACCTAGGAACTGTAAAGGCTATGCAGCCAAAACTCCATGTAAGTAGCTAGAACAATGGAAGTACGGTATAAATTAAACAAAAAAGTCTATCAAACCACAGTGTGACTTGTGAGTGCTTTGTTCTTTTTATTGTCCTGCCTGCTTCTAGGCTTTTCTATCATTTCCAGATACACAGAGAAGGTCTCTTCAGATCCCAACCAGGACATAACCTGCCTTTAATGCTGCCCTTGAAATACACCAACCTTTTTTTTTCACTGTGGGAATCCTGAGCAAAATTTAGACACCATTTTCCCATCTAGGACAACACAGGGCAATAGTCAGATGCAGGAATTGGAAAAGTGAAAGATGTGTCCAAAAAAGCATCTAAAGAAGATGTGTGTAAAATAGCACAAGGTGCAGGACTACAGGACAGCCCTCCCTTACCACCCGAGGTAGCTCTCAAGAAACTGTTTACACCTTTTTTTGGTTTTCTTTTGGCTCAACGTTGTACCATCAGAAGGTTATCAGCACTTCACGAGGGCTGGGAGGAACACAGCTGAAGTGGGAGAGGGGTTTAATGGCCTTACCTAAAAATCACCCTGGGTGTTAGTGCCATGATCAGCGACGGAAACTGCAGGGCCAGCTCCTCTGTTTCTGTGGATCTAGAGTTAGAATTATGCCCCCAAATGCCCTGAGGCCAGGCAAGATGGCCTAGGGAAAATGAAGACACCCAGCAGAATGAGAAGAGGAGGCATTTGGGGGTATTAGAGTTTAAGGTGCCCCAGACTACAAGCGTGATTCAGCTGCAAAACGTGCTCAGGTTGCCAGACTCAGCTCTGTGAACTGCATTGTAACAGCTGGCTAAAGTTGAAACTTGCTCTTAAAAAGGGAATTTTGAACAACGGCCAGTTAGAAATCCGGCCTGGACCTGACTTACAAATGGAGACATTTCTATGGTTTTTAGCAACACAAACTGCAGCAGAACATAAGCAGGGGAAATCCCGTATGTACAGAGCATGCCTTGAGATTCACAAGCACTTCAGAGTACTTAGAAGCAGTCGGTGTAGCAAAATTTGTCAGCTCTTGCAAGCAATAAAGGCTCCATTGCAGCAGGGATGTAACAACATCTCCCATACGAAAAAAAACCCCTCAATCTTTCCCCACTTCATCCTAAAGTACAACTTCGCCCTGGCCAATATTTCTGCCTGTTTTTCCCCTCATAATCCTGGTGGTTGTGCTCAAGTGATCTGCACTCGAAGCCAGCAAACTAATTGCACTCTGCTTAAGCCACTAAGATTGAGAAGGTAAATTTGCATAGGTGCCATTGAATTTACAGGGTATTTCCTGTGCAGAAATGTGTCATTTACAATGAATACTGACTACTCAAATCGGTGACTAATCACAAAACAGAATTACTGCAGACTAGGGAAAAACGAGCATTTTCTTTCTATTCCTCTGGGTGGTGCTGCAATACAGTATAAGACGACCATCACAATTGCAAGGATTATTTTACAAAGCCGTGTCCCACTCAGAGGGCTATGCATCCTAGTTACTTTCCTTGCCTGTTCTTCCTTTCAGAGCATCCCCCAGAAATATGTTAAAGGCATACCTTGTCTTACTGGCTCCCCTGTGGTTGCTGAACACGGCTCCACAGGTTATTCCTATCACTGTGTCTCTGTATGCTGGAGGAGTAAACCTGCTGCACAAGGCAAATGGAAGGAACTAAGAATTTCAACTCTTGCTAAGTGGAAGGGATGGGACAGGGGATTCTTATACTTACGTTATGCAGCCTCCCAAATTAGGAGTACTTCAGGATTTATATTCTCAGCTCCCTCCTTCAGAAGCAGGTGTGACCATAGCACAGGGACTCATCTTTCTGCTACACATTTTTATCTGTTTGAATGCATTTATAGTTCTCATGCTACTCTGCATCTACCCTGGCAGCCCAAAGTCCAAAGGAACTTACTGAGCAACAACTACACTAATTAAACTCTTCCTGTTTAACACCTATAGTCACATCCTGGGCTGTGGTGGAACATCATCACCTTAAGATGAAGATATTCCCAGTCCTGCAGGTCAGAGTAACAATACACATACCCTTTATGTCTGCAATGGAGAACTAGCATATTTTGCAAATAAAGGTGGTGATAGCAGCTAAGAAATGACATTAACAGTTACAAAGCCATTAACGTGATGATGGAACTGAAACTTGGGAAGGAGCCGTGCTGCCCACACCCCCTGTGCCCTTTGCTCAGCATGCTTCAAAAGGAGAGTCCTGTAACAAATGGGCTGGCAGCTCAGAATGGAGTCATGAGGCCAAAGTCAAGGCTGTACAGAGTCCAAGGCAAATGGAAGAGAATTTACACTTCCCCGTATTTCCTCCTGATGGCGTAGAGCTCCCCCTCAAACCTGGCTGGCATGACGTGATCCTTCTGTCTTCAGAGCCCCTGCAAGTGAGAGAATTCCCCATGGAGTGCAAGTCATTGGAATGTACTCAAGTAAGGGTCATGCCACAATCAGCACAATGCCTGAAGGGACACGAACAAGACTTCCAGGGAACTAGATTCCAGTCTTCTGCACACAAAGCCCTCCCACAGCAGCTGTTTCCTCTGGAGATAGTGTCATTCCTCCTGCACAGCTCCCTGTCTGCAGGGGACAGTCACTATTTCCATCTCCAGAGGATCAGGTAAAGGAGCAGAAATTAAATCACGGCCTGAATGCCACCATTCAGTGATACCTAAATTGCTTCTGAGGTCACTATGGGAGCTCCAGACATGGGGCAAAACCTCCAGGAATCTCCTGTGCCATCTCTCCAGCACCACGCAAATCCTAACCCACAGCAGCAAGGCTGAAGTGTGGACAGGCACAAGCAGCAATTCACTGCTCCCTCATCACTTACCTTGGTGCTGTGCACTCTGCAGATACCTCTCTGTTATTCCTCTACAGGCACAGCACAGTTTTCCTTGTTTTCTGATGGAATTGCAAGGTAGTCTGTCCTGAAGTTGGAAAAAAAGACGAAAGCATAACCTGAAGTGTGTAGCTCAAGTCCTTTCACTCTTTCAGAGATGCTGAATTCCCCAAAGTATCTCTAAGGTAACAAATATCATTCATAGAAGATCCTTGGCATAACCAGAAGCAGATGCTGAGCTTTACCTGCTGTAAAACCCTATGCATACAGCTTTCCCATCACTGTTACTTAAGCTGAGAATGTAAAAAAGATTGGAATGGGCCAGCATAAAAACTGGAACATTGCTGCTCTGTCAACTGCCAGGATTACCCTCTTCTACTGCTTTATCACAGTATAGGCTACAGACTTGTGAGTCAGATCTCTAGAAGTGGGCCTTCCAGGAGAGCATTTCCATGTGGTTCAAATTGGGCCACCTTGGAATCCTGCCCACCTTGGCCACCCTCCCTACCATGTGCATCATCCCTCCCTTGCCAGTGCACTGTCTCTTTGGGTACTCCCGTCCAGTGCAATGATTTCACACACAGCAAACCTCAGCTAGAAATGTGCAACAGCAAAGTTCAGCCTTCTTGCAATCTGACTTGGGCTGAGACATCTGAAGGACCCCTCGTAGAACAGCTGACATCTGGAGAGATTTCACACTTACGCATTTTCCTGGGCAGCCTCCTCTGCCTTAGAGACTTTCCTGTAGCAATAGACCATTTCTATCAGTAGCCACAAGGTGAGGAAGACCAGCAGAATGTACATCATGATTTCAGAGATGACTGAGGTGAAGTCTTCTCCAGCTGTTAAGAAAATGAAATCATCTCTGGTCATTTACATACAGCTGTTGGAGCACAGCAGCTCCATTCAGACCTTCCCACCCTCGTCTCCTCTTTCCTAACCCACTTTGTCACACAGTCCCAACTGCCACTACCCTGTGAGGGGTCGAAAGACAAGAAACAGGTAAGGCTGCCAATAAAACACGCCAGCAGCAATTTCAGAGCATGTTTCCACTGGTATCAAAGATGCATAGGCTTACCTGTGTCTTGTGTTCTCTGCAACCTACACATTCATACAGACTGCTCACCATGAGCCTATCTCAGCTGCACATACCCTTTCCTTCACGTGTCTGACTTGCTGCAGTTGCTTGAGCGTGCTGTGCCACCACTGATTTGGAGAGAGATCAAAACAGGCAGGGAAGAAAGGAAGGGAAGGCACAAAACAAAAAGATGGGGGTAAAACCTGTCCCACTCTGGAGTGGACAGCAGGATTTCTACAGCCAGGATCTCAGCACAGAACTGGGCAAAAACAAGAGTAACAGTAAGATAGAAGAGCAGTACAAAGGAAAGGAGGATGCAAGAGACTGAAATCAAAATGGAGAATGAGTTCAGAGAGGGAGGGGGAGGAAGTGAGGAAGGAGCAGCTGTAGGCAGCCAGGCAAAATCTGTGCTGTAGCATCCCTGAGCCACCAGGGGAGAGGTGAGGGTTCCGACCAGATAAAGTGGAAACCTCTGCTTGACACGACTGTCTGGCAGCTCAGTCATCTCCCTCCTACAATGCAATAGAAATCCTGTCCCTGTGTAAAACACCCACGGCCAGTTAGGACACGACACAATTTCTGCCAGTCCTCCATACCCTCCTCCACCACGGTGAGGTGGATCAATCTGGAGCTTGTGAAGAGAGGCCGGTGAATCTCAAACTCAAACTCCCGGGTGATATTACAGGTGTAGATACCCGAATCATTCAAGGTGACATTTAACACAGTGATGGATACATCCTGCATGTCTTTACTTCCATTCCATTGTATCCGACCACTGAAGCGGCTTGGAAACTCGTGATTCATTTTCCTGTGCTCGTAGATCTGTGAAGGAACACGAAGGGATATTCTGATTAACAGCTGACTTCAATTTCAGACAACAACACAGCATATCCAAGCAACTCTGCTCTCCTCTGGCTGCATACTTCATGTTCTGGGATATGGCCTTCCTGGCATCAACATAATACTTTGTTATCCCTTACCTCACAATCTCAGCCTGCTTTACCAATGAGAGAAAACTGAATTATTTCCATCATGGAAGTAAAAAAAACAGAGGCAGAGAACAGTAGAGAGACATATGGACAATGACACACACACAAAAATCAGCAACTGAACTAAAATTAGGATGCTGTAGCCTTAGTGACTGGCCTGTCAGTCACTGGGTCATCTTCAGAAGGCACCACAGAAAACAATACTGCCAAGACAAAAAGTCCTTTTCTGTAAGCCCTGAGATATCCAGCTAACATGGAGGTGTTGTAAAAGAAGGACAACAGTGTGAGAACAGCATCAGAAGCACGGACCTTGGGTGGCTTTCACAAGCCCAGGCATTGGCAAGTTTCTGGCTGGCCACAGCCATCACACTGCCTGCCCAGCTCACCCTCATGGCCAACCTTTGGGCTGCTGCTAGCAGGTCTCACCCATCTCATTCCCTTGTGTGGTTCCTTTCGTTCTCAGAGTAGGAGATTATTTGCCGTCTTGCCTGGCCCTACTTAATCATGATGAAATGAAGGCACAGATCTAATTCTTCACGCTTGGATAAAATAGCTACTGAAACCTTATTCTCAGATTAACCATTCTTGTAAGGCTCCCAGTTTAATTCACCCTGAAAACTAATTTTACCTTTTCCTGACAGGAATCCAAAAGCAACTCGCACAGATCCTCCCACAGTCAGCACACCATTGGCTTCTTTGTGGCAAAAAAGAATTAAGTTCTGTCCTACAGATTTAGCAGAGCCTGATTTAACCTCCAAAGAACAGTATCAGAATTCAGAAGCACCCAAAGAAATAACAGTTGGCCAGTATGGCTGGTGTCATTCCATGCTTCTGTCTTTTCTTTCTCAATTCCCTTGTATACTGGGTGATAGACATTCAAAGAAAGAAACTAGAAATTGACATTCATGTACATGCAACCCAAAATGTTTGAACTCACCAACAGACTCCAGCTTTTCCTGCCATGGGTACCTGCTGTGTGCTAATCAGCTCAGCTCATCAGCTCAACAGGAAAGGAAAGCTTTAGTTACTGCTCAGCAGCAGTGTTATAGAACCTTCAGGTAAAAATACCATACAAACTGAAGATCTAGGGTTTGCAGCTGAATTTAGCTACCAGCTCATCTCTCCTCCATGATATTAAAGCAGCCTGCTAGGCATTCCTACAGACTTTGAATGAAAACATGGCATAAGCCTTGTCTTCATGTCTGGGTCTCTTCATCAAGGATCTGTGGCAAGACAAACTCACACTCTTCATATTAAATCTTTTGGCTTCTCCCATGAGTTCTCTGGACCAACAACATGGCCAACCAAAGCAAGGGCTCAGCTACCCAAACATACATACGGGTTCATCTTTGCCACCCTCCGGCCTGTAGAACCATTCCACCACTGTGCTGGCTGTGACCTCTTCCCTCTTCATGCAGGAGATGCAGAGCAGCTTCATGTCCGTCCCCTGGACTGCCTCTGTCTCTGATGGAACTTCAACACATACTGCAGAACAAAAACCAGCTAGGAAAAAAGCAGTGGAAGAAAAGTGAGCAAAGATATGGGAGAGAAACACAGAGACAGCAGTTATCCATGCACATAGTGGAAAACCCTTTGATTCATTACTAGCACCCTCTGCTTCTCTTCCTTCTCTGAGATATAAACAGTGCTTCAGAATTAACAGAAGGTGATCAATTCATGCAGATTCACCTCTCCAGCATCTCCTTTGTTACAACTTTTAATTTTTCCCGTAGTAATTGATGCTGTTTTGAAGGCATGGCTCATTCTTTCTCCCACATGCTGAGCATGCTCCCGTTCCAGCAGCAATTAGAGGCTGGGATGAGAGAAAGCCCAGAATTCAAGCATGGAGGCACAGCTCGCTCTTTGTGCGAGTTGAAAGGTGGATGTTTTCATCTGGCAGCCAGCTCAAAATAAAGGGTTAAGATTCTCCATGCTTCCTGTTTCTAGGTTTCGTAAGCAGTCCTGGAAATCAAGGGCTTGGACCTGAGTGCATTTGGCAGCTGGGGGAGTTATTGATTTTACGTGCACTCCGCTTTAGAACGCTTCCAATCAGATTTGTGCAAACATGGGCAGCTATAAAATACAGTTCTCTCAAACGAGACAAAAATCAGAGTCTGTGAAGGCAAATGCTTGATATGAAACCCAATGCTCCAGCACGACATCTCAAGACTAAATCTCTGCTGCCATTTGTCCCCTGGGCTAAACAATGCTGGGTTCCGTCTGTCCCATCCTGTCTCTGAGTGCAGCTCAGTGGAGATGCTGACTTTGCTGCTGCTCCCTCCTCCCCAAGCCTCTAAGATTGCATTAACCCTCGCTCTCATGCCCTGTATTTTCCTGGGACCTATCCTGGAAACGGTTCCTTTTCTCCCACATCGCCTCTATGGATAGCAACAGTTTTCTGGGAGAAATAAAGAAACGACTACTGGCTCGTGCTCTACTCCACTTACATTAAACACACACATGCAAACAGAGCTGTAGGCATCCATGCACATTAAACCGAGCTGCGTTAGCAAAACTAACGGCGTATCTTCCGATTGCAGATAAAATGGCAATAAAACCCAAACGTTTCCTTCAGGTTACGCTGCCCGCACAGAAAAGCAGCGCTGCATATGGGTTCATGTGGCCTCTCTGTGGAAACTGCATGTTAAATTACACTGCAAATTTTACAACAAAAGCAAACAGGAAACAGCGAGGAACTTGCAGGCGTGTGCAAGCGCACGCTTTCTGCCAAGAAGTCCGCTCAGCAATATTACATTTCTCTGCTCATATTAACTCCACTAGGTTGCTATTAACTCCGTACCGATGTTATTTCCTTCTCACAAACAAAACAAAAAGCCGCTCCAAAGCTTTTGTGACAGCCTGAAAGGAACCCCGTGAGAAAAGAGCATCCTACCAGCACGCAGCGTGGGGAGAAAGAACCCTCCTGAACACAACAGGCAATGGAAGCACTTACCCCAAACGACCAAAGCGGCCGAAGAAGCGCAGAGCAGCCTCGGCAGCGCAGCCATTGTTCCGAGCGAGGAGCTCATCATCCCTCGGGCTCAGCTCCTCCCGTACAACGCAACAGGATGCTCCGAGGATCCGCGCTCCGGCGGCAGCACCACGGACAGGGCCGGGACGAGGCGGGGCGGCTCCGGGAGCAGCAGGTGGCTGCGGGAGAAAGCGAGCCGCGCTCCGCCGGCTCTCGGCAACCCCACGGTCGGCAACGGCTGCGCGGAGCTCAGCCTCGCCCGGGCGGGGGGCCCGGCTCACGGCAGGCATGCGCGGGCCCTCCCTCACCGCCGGCCCCAACCCCAACGCGGGGCTCCTCCCGGTTGTGGAGATGCAGCTCGAGGTTTCCTTGCTGGGTTCTGTTGGAGTCAGGGGAGGGGGCCGTGCTCTTTTTCCCTTTTGGCTGGAGAGGGGTTGTTAGCATCGTTTATCTGTCTCGGAAATAAAGCCAGATAAAGAGCAGGGGGAGAGTTATCCGTGCGAGGTCACCGGGAGGGCTTCGCCTGTAATGAGTTTAATACTAGCATCTGTATGGCTCTGAAGGTCACGTCTGGAAATACTGGGAAATCCTCTCCTCGTGTTCCAGTCCGACTCCCAGGAGCTCAGTGCCAGCAGCAGGCTGGGCTTTCTCTGCTTGGACTGGAGCCACAGCACCCAGAAAGGCTCCAACTCTGAAGGTCACAGTGGGCAGAGAGGGAGAAACGAAGCGCTCGTTAAATGGGCTCCCTCTTCACAAAGCATCTGTGCTGATGGCAGCTCAATGCACAGCGCAATCTATTGAATGAAACCTGGCCAATTCCGTCAGACAATGACATGGGAGCAACTCCCTGTGCCAAAACCCAGCGTGTTGGACAGATGAGAACCACCCAACAGAAAACAGCAGCCATCTGAAAGCATCGGATTCAGCCCTCTGGCTGGACGTGGCCTCCTCAGCAGGGCACTACACTGCTGAATCTGGACCTTCCCAGCACTACAGCTTGGTCCTGAGGGCACACGCATGCAATCTGGTCCCTACACTGCATAAGCAAAGCAGGCATAGAACAAAGACAGTGAATGCCCTTCCTAAAAATCATTCAACTGTTTGTAGCAGAGGCTGTGACCCCTGAAACCTTTGCAGCCCTGAAATATCGCAGCAGTGGCTGACCAAAGCCATGGCAGCTTCTATCTCCTCTGCCCGTGGGGTTCTCCAGCTTTATCCACCATGCTACCATCAAACTTCCCAAAGAAAACACCTATACATCTCCAGGAGCCAGGAGCAGAGACCAGATGTCAGCAATACCCTTCCACTTTCTCCCTTAAAAGCCATCCGTCATGAATGTCTGAATCAGAATATTTAACTTTTCCCTGAAGGAAGCAAAAATAGCACCCCCAATACCCAGAGATGATAATACATAAAGTCACATGCTCATCTCCCATTGCCCCTCACTGTTTCCATAACTCAACAAAAGGAAAGGCAGGCTTAGCTACAGGATTTGCTCCTAGCTTTTCCGGAACAATCCAGCCTGAGTGCTGGTGAAGGGTATTTTTATAGCCACAGGAAGCACTGAACAATGTTCACAGCCATCTCATTTGACAAGCACCTGTTTCATGAAGTGCAGTGGAAATCACATCTGTTCCTGGGCAGCCAGGTGCACTGCCAGGAGCTGCAGGACACGGATCAGCAGAGCTGCACTGTGCTGTGCTGCTCTACTTACATCTATTCCGGAGAGCACTGCCAGGATTGGCAGAGAGGGTCCAAGTCTATAGGATTACAAGGATGCAGCAGCTCTATGATTTGCTCAACAGCCACTAATTGACCCTTCATCCTCATCACAGTCTCGCTCAGGTGTCTTGGTGCTCTTCCTCTTCTCCTTTAACCCCAGGCACTCCAGAAGTCATCTGACAACGAACTGAAATGACAGTAACAAACAAACATCCTTCAGCAGTAATGAGTTTTCCCTCAGGATCATTTATGTGCCAACCTGAAGCACTGCACACAGTACTCATCCTGGTCAGACTGGAGTTCTAATTATTATTTAAAAATGGGGAATGTGGCCCAGGGGTGAAGAAAATCGCTGGTGAAACCGGGCTTGGGTTTTGGTGGACTGTAACATGATAAGGCACAGGGCAGAGAAGCAAGCAGACATCACATCCTCTCCCCCTCTAGAACACACTTCGACATGCACTACAGACAAAGCATTTTCACAGAATGGCCTGGGATGAAAAGCAGCACAGTGCTCATCCAGTTTCAACCCCCTGCTACGTGCAGGGTCGCCAACCACCAGACCAGGCTGCCCAGAGCCACATCCAGCCTGGCCTTGAATGCCTGCAGAGATGGGGCAAAGATGATTTGCAGTGCATGCTCTTGGTCTGGAACGTGTTCCCTGACTATTTGGGTATGCTGTGTGTTTTCAGAGTGAAAGGGTGAGATCCTTTAATTCTTGCTCTGAGCTGGGCTTGGCTGGGAACCACTCCAACATCTCCACGTGCCTGTTTTGAACAGATGATAAATGCTGCCCAGACCCCTTCAGAAAACCTTGCAGATAAACGAGACATCATACCGAAAGCTTCTTTGCTGTGTGAGAGATGGAGAGCACATATTCTTCATAACCCACCCACTCTAAGGATGCACAGCCTCTCCTCCTTGCTCTGATGCCTGCAGGGAGCAGGCTGGAGCAGAGGCACAGCCCATAGGGCGAAGGATGTTCAGTGCCACAAAGCCCTCGGCCATTTTAGCACTTCAGGGGACGTGGTGAAGGGGAATGAATGTTGAGAAATCTTGAGAGCTGCAAGAAGCAGCCCAACTTATCATGCAGGGGTTGCTATGGCAACCCACCCAGTTAATGCTTCACCAGCAAAAAGAAAAGAAAAAAGGGGGAAAAAAAAGGCTGGTACTTCTGCACAGGCACAACAGGACGAGGAGATAAAAAATAAATTCAGCACCCCCACCCCCATTAATCCCTCAATCTTCTGGTCTCTGAGCCAGGCTATGGGAGAGGGAGCACAGAACCTGCACCTCTGGCCTCATCTCAGCCCCATCTCAGCAGTTCCTCTGTCATTGCAATAATCATGCCAGCTCACTTCAACACAACTGTCCTCTTCGCTGTGCAGCTAAACATCAGCAAAGCTTGTTCCTTGCCCCTTTCCTGTCCATCAGGAGCCAACACAGACCCACTGCTGGCACCAATTTCTCCTTGCCATCCCAGCCTCAAAGCAGCCAAAGCAGTGCAACAACAGACTGTGCATGTTCTCACTTTACTACTGCTCCCAGAGTTTCAACTAGCTCTGCTCGTGGCTGAAGAAGAGACCTTCAAGGCCTCTGGATGGGTGATATTCTGACCTCTTAACTCCAACTGCTCTCCCTTTCTGTTTTCAATGACAACACACAAAGCATCCCTATGCCATCCTTACCTCCCAGAGAAAACAGTCTGCTCAATATGCCTCCTTAGTTCTTAGAATTCTTTTCCTTTCAGATCTACAAAGAGGGAGATCTGAACAAGAAGGCTCAGGCCAGCCATCTGTGAGCCCTCAGTGCCTTTCATAGCGGTGCTCTCTCAGATAAATACTTCCTCCAACACAGAAGAGCACTAAATAAGCCCAGGCCTGTGCACACACACAGCCTGTGTACTTAGATTCCTTTAAGCAGCAGGTGTGCTGTGAAGGCTGGGTTAAAAACTGCCCCATGTTTGAGAAATTGGCACTGAGATTCATTCCTCCACACTGCTACCATTTTGTGGTCAGTTAAGCCCTGGTGCCACTGCAGGTCCTTTTGAGATACTGTTTTCTGAGCCTCAGCACCAAGAAGATCAAGCAGTGTATAAGCATGTAGGCAAGCCTTTGCGTGCTGTAACTGAAGTGCTGTTTTACCAATCTGCAATTTAACAAGGTGGCACTTTCACAGATTTGCTTTTAGGCCTCTCCTCAGCCCATTCATTTCAGCAGTGGATGGAAATCCATTAGCAGCGGATTGCCACACGCAGTCATTCACATTTGCTCATTTAATTTCTCGTACTCTTAAAACTCTTACTGCTACTGAAATACACCGCTGCATCAATTATTTTAGCACCTTGCAATGACTCTTCTTCTGTAAAATAAAACCTGGTGCACCAAGTGTTACCATCTTACCTTGGCTGAATTGAATTGAAAACCACTGCAGTTTTCTTCCTTAAAGGGTAAGGCTGAACCTCCCCACAGCTGGCATTAAACAAGGAAAACACACCATTAACTCCTTTTCAAGTCCCCTAGAATGCTGCTTCTCAAATGTGATTTGTTCTGTTGACCAAGGAATACAAAGGATTCAGGAACACAGCACATGTGTGGCTGCATATATTCACTATCTTGCACTGCTGTGTCTCCCAGTCTGAAAAAGAAACTTTCTCACTTTTTGGCCTTGTCCTGTACCTTCCATCTGCGTGTTTGCAGCTCTCTCTTCCAGTAGCACAACTGTCATCATCTTTCAGCTAAACGAACAAGCACATTTGTAGTATATCAGACATCACATGTAAAAAAAGGAAAAAGAGTTTTCCCAGCTTCAATATGACAAATCTGAAAGGGCTTTTGACAGTGAGAAACGCCTTCTTGGTCCAATTCAAAGTTGCTGGGTAAAGTGATGCAAGTTTCACAGAGCTCTGAATCTGTAAAAAGTCTCTTTTGCTTTCAAAGCTATCTTTTTCAAAGGGAACTTCAACACCCAAGCAAGCACCTTCTCCTGGCTAGGTATTCTGCTACAGCTCGCTGCGTTTTAGTCGTTCTATTAACTTCGTACAAAGAAACGAGCATTAAAAAAAAAAAAAGAGCAGTCACTGGTTTCTATCCAAATTCTGTGTAGGAAAGGAGAGGTTACGCGCAGCTCGGCGGGGTTTGCAGTGCCGCTGACGGCCGCCAGAGGGCGCTGTTCTCTCTGCGTTACGGAGCGCTCAGGCAGAGCCCGGCTCCTCCCTGCACAGGGCGGCAATGCGCTTCTTAAGAGCTGGAGACTTACTGCGTTCGTGGGCTCCTGTGCTCTGCTCTGATGTGTTTGCTGTTAACTGTTCACCTCAGTGAGTCCCCATCACTTTGCACGCACGACACTTTGCTCAGCGGACGAGCCTTTCTGGCTTTCTGTCCTCACGGCTGTCCAGGGTCCCAGCTGGTCAATAATTAAAAATCAACTGAGAACAAAACTTACTGTAGAAGAGCCATGAGTTGTACAAAAAGAATGGACCCCATAAACCTGTGATGTTCCATTTCTGGCCTGGATTCTTCTTAGTATTCTACCAACAAGCTGGGCAATCCCGCACTATCTCACCTCTGCAAACTTCCTTTAGCTTATCTACAAATAGAGTACACGTAGAGACCCTGGCTTACGCCCTTCGCTAGTTAGTGAGAAGTTCTTCAGAAGTACTTCACTTCTCTGAGATGAAAAATAAACCTACGTCAAAGCTGCATGCGGTGGCTGTCAGGCAGAATGCAATACTTAACCTTTTGTGTGCGAGGCTGACCAGGGCCCTTTCACCCCAAAGACCTGAAGTTCCTGATACAGCAAAACCATAAAATCCCTACAAATAGACCAGCTTTGTTCGGTGCCTGCCAAGGCTAAAAGCATTTGGCCATAAAGGACATAAGTGATGCTTAATGAAGACATCAGATTTCTGCGACGCAGTAAAAGCAAGAGGGATGCAGAAAGTCCTCCCCAGACCTAAGCTTGGAATGCAGCACCACCAACTCCATGCACACACTCACCTTGCCCTCACTCCTCCTGTTTCACCTCTTGCTGTCCTCTTTGCCCTGCCAACCCCTGCGCCTCCTACACGTCCCTCAATTTGCTCTGTCATTCTGCCCTGCCTGCAGCTCACCTGCAGCCCTGTCTGCCCTCAGCCCCTCTCACTGCTCAGCAGATGGGCAGTTGCTCTCTCCTCCATGGTGCCTCCACAGATCACGTGCTTTGCATTGAACAGAGAGGGCACTACACAAAAATAGACTCTATTGCATGCAGTGACCAATTACAGTGAGTCACTACTTTTATCAAGAAGATACAGACTGTATAAAAACACTGGCGTTGGCTATAAACAAGATGCTCTAAGAAGAATGAATCAGTAACTGCTGATACCATACACAGATATCTGTGCACTCCAGCCAGATATCAGCCACTTGAGCTAAATAAAGTGATTTAAAAAACTAAAGATACCTGGGGAATCAGACAGGCTGGCAGGAACAGGGAATAATGCAATTCCAGCAGCAGTCCTTGAACAGAGCAGAACAAAAGCACCCCTATATCACGTTCCATGGATGGCCAGCTACCTGAGTCAGATAATTAATTGCTTGGAGGTCACTGTGGTTGCATCTTTCAAGGTCAGCTTAAACTAGGTCATCAGCTCAAGTCTGTGTTTTGGCCAAGGCTAAAAATCAGGGTCAACTGCTAGCACCACGTCGAGGATGAAACCAAGAGTGTTCTTGGTCCTAAAGGTGCCATTATTATTTGTCCACCCTCAATACTAATGAAACCAAACCCAGTTTTTTGGATGGTACTTACTTTGGAAAGAGAGACAGCTTCCTTCCAGCACTAGAGGTGAAGCCCTCCAACTCAAGAACATGGGATGCTGTTGGTGGATGCTCCCCAATCACACTCACACAGCAGAAATCCAGCATTCCAGCATCGTGCTTCCAGAAGGCCACTGCTATTGGAAGAACTCCTTATTAAAAGGGTGTTCATTATTACTCATAAATGAGAGAGAAGCTTGCTGTTATAAGAGAATCAAGTTTTATCTTAGGTATTCCAATACATTTTCCTTGCTATTACTATGTGTACTTTTGAATAATCAACACAAGAAACTTGCTGTGCCTTTTGTCTCTTTCTTTCCTATCTGTACAGATTCAGCCCCACAGGATCCCTGTCCAGATAACAATCACCCAATGAAAACAACAGGCTGTGCATAAGAAGCCTTGCAGATTGCATCAGGGAGAGAACACCATACTCATGTATGCCACTCAAACAGGCAACTGTATGTGTCCCTCTATATAAAAGTTGGGGTACTGGAAGCCATCTGTAGTGTCACAAAAGCCCTGTAGGAATGAGGTGAAAGGGTACCCAGGTGACCCAGTGAGGAGTGGTGTGATCATTCCCATTCCAATGGCACTACACAGCTGCTAACAGTACCCGAGTTCCTCAATTCTGATCATTCAAGCACCCAGGATGCTCACAGTACATCTCCAACAGTTACTTATTACCTCCAACGTAAACAACCTCCAATCTAAAAACATTTTTGGAAGAACAGTTTTCATTCTAAAGCCAAGATCTTCTATTTTCAAGACCTTCGACGGGCTTTTATGGGTAGGATCAGCAGAACGAGGGACGCAGAGGTCACCACCTTCATGCACCTGAATGAATACCACAGACATCAAGGGATGCCCATGATTTTTCAGAAGACTATGAAAAAAACCACTGAGGGAGAAATATATATATATATTTTTTTCTATAAAAACACACAAGTTTTATGCCAGAAATTTCATTACATTAAAACCAGGCTGTGCATTCCAAAGCACAACCATGACAGATGTTCCCAGTTGGCATCATTTAAACATCCCCCCCTTTGCCTGGTAGGGATTATATTCCCATCTCCAGTGCATAACTGCTCTCCCTGCACAGCTCTGGGTGCCAGAGAGAAAGGTGCTCAGTGGGTTTGGGCTGCACACTGCAGAGGGCAACTCCCACTGCTTTTACCACAGTCCTTCCTCCTCCTACACCCATCCTGACATAAACCAGATGACATATTCTAACAAAGGAGCTGTTTGTTCTATAAATAGGTTTTTTTCCCTCACATACCACAGGCGTGAGAGCCCTTTCCCAGCATCTAAGAACAACAACGCACAACCAGAATCAACACGGGTTGTTTCTCCAAGAGATGACACACTTCAGTGCAGCACACACGAGCACGGAGCTATTTCTGAAGGAGAAATAAGGATTTCACACATCCTCAGTGAACGCTGGAAGCTTACTTTGATTTAGAAAGAAACGTGCTTTCTGTGATGTGTCAGGGCAGCTTCTTTCATTCTCTGAAAGCAAGAAAGAAAACTGCACTTTTAGAGGAACTGTAATCTAAAATCACTTTAAAAATGAACAGCAAACTATCAACAAGTATCTAGAACACAACAGCTAATTTGAGTTGACCCAAAATACCACAAAATGTACCAATTTTCCACCCCAATTGTTTTAAGGTCCATAGAAGGAGAATTTGGAAGACCATGTAGATACATGGGGTAAACTCCATACACAACTGATGCTGAATAGAGTATCCCTTCACTATCACCTCCTGATTTCTGGAGGTGCTGCCAACGAATCAGTCCCTCAACCACTGCAGCCCATGAGGACCAACCCCAACAGGAGGCACAGGGGCTGACTGAGGCCAAGCACTTTGCTGAAGGCCACAGATTAAAGCCAGGCTGAGGCGAGGGCCCCTGCCTTCCTATTTCCTGTTGCCATGACCAGGTTACACAGCCTCCGCCCCACCACTGACCCCTTCATTGCATTCATACCTTCATTGCTGCCCCATGATCATGCACAGGTCTGTTGATCAAACCTGGACACAGCTTGCTCAGCAAAACCTTCTCACTCGTTTCCCTTTCCAGGCAAAGCTTTACAGTCCCTTCTTTTCCCCATCTTGCTCGTGGAACACATGGATGCCCACATGCTAACATTTCAGTACCAGCAGCTGCTCCCGCTGAAGATGGCAGCATCTTACCTTAATCCATTTCACACAACAGCACAGACCTGAACACAACCCTGGGAATCCACTGCACGACTGTGAGGACAGGCTACGACTGACAGGTAGGAATGTTTCCTGCAGCGGACAGATTTTCCTGAGTGCTGTTCCTGTCTCAAAGCCAAAAAATGGGCTTGACAGGCTGAAGTCTTCTGACTACACCTGGAAAATACAACACAAACACCCTGCTGTGAGTAGCAGCTATCTCCCAGATATATACTTTATACACTATCTCAGGAAGTATTTCAACATTCCTGGCCACCAAACTGCAAATTCCTTTCAGCTCATAATGTAATAAGATGGGAGTTTTCATAGGGTACAGTGATGCTGAACAGTATCAGAGGGTTGAGCAGCATCAGGAGTCCTTCAGGGAGAAAGAGGAGAGCACAGGGCTTCACTACAGCAGGTTGGTGTAGCAGAGAGCACAGCTACTGGATCAGGAGAACTGCCTGCCTTGCCCAGCAGACCCCAGTACTCATTCAAGGAATCTCAGAAAAGGAAACGTTTTCCCACCTGTGTCCTGCTCTATTGAGGCCAACCCAATTTTGGCTTCAGCTGGAATTTCCTTCTTCAACCTGAGCAAAACTCCCCAGCCCTTCCCTGGAGCAGTCTAGAATGCAGTTCATGTGTGATAGAGGTTCTCAATGTGTGACAGAGGTTCTCAATCTTTGGTGCAGTGCTCGGAAGTGGGAAGGAAGCAGCATTCCCACACTCATTCCCACACTCATTCCCATTGCCAGCTGGTTGCCTCTAAGCAGTTAATCACCCACCTCTCACATGGCCTGTAACACTTTCTGCAAGGAGGCTGGCAAGAACAAGCTGGCTACCAATACAGAAATAGGGCATGCAGCACTGATGAGCATGAAGATGAAGATAGGAGTTCTGCCCTTGGGTCTTTCCAGACATACACAGGATATGAGGCTGAGTTTTGCTGTTTATCAACACACAATGCCAGAACAGAAAGTAGGTCAGCAAGTGGGGTATCTCAAAACTGCAGGAAGCTACCTGCCAATGTCTGTCCCTAGGGTGGGCTGGATGTGTGTAGGCACCAGCAGAGCTGATTTTTAGACAGAAAAAACAGAAACTGCTCGATCCCAAGTGTGTAGTGGGCTCCCAAACACTACGTGAAGCAGCAGAGCAAGAGAGCCAGTGCTCAGGAGAGGGAGATGTTCACATTGAGGTGCTGGGGCCCTGGGCAGAGGCATGCTGCCAGCCCTGGGTGCTATCTCTGCACCAAAAAGTGAGCCCAATGCACGGCAAAGCAGGGATTACAACATCAGACTCAGCACAGGCACACACAGCTTTAAGCTATTCTTCCTGAGTGTCCTACATAACAAACCCAAACAAATTAAGGAATGAGTAATGGAAAGGTAGGAGGTGGCAAGGCTTGTTTTGGTTCAGGAAAGGATTCCCACCCCTTGCCTGGAATCTAAATTAGATTCAATTTAGATTACAATGAGGCAAGGCCAAACCCCCTTGATGAATGAGTTGCTGAAGTAGATCACTTGTATTTTGCAGCTGTTCTTTAATAAATTCATTTATTTGTCCCCTGCTTCTGCTTTTGTTTCTGATGTTATCAGCCTCGTGCCATGTCCTCCCCTGTCCCTCTAGTTTAGGATAGCCCTTACAATCTCTCTCGGTGAGGACAGAAGCAATTTGTTTTCTGGTGGAGAGAGAATGTGTGCTTGGGCTGATAAGTGGATTATCTCCATAAACACCCTTTATAATGCTATGACACCCCACCCTCACAAAACCAAAGGAATTAATCACAGCCAGCAATGTGACATCCAAAAGAGAAAGCTCCCTCTGCTGCCTACTATGCTGGTATTGCAGCCAGGCTCTCCTCTTAAGGGAAAAGCAAGGAAAAATGCACATAAAATAAGAAGATCCATGTTCATGCTCACCATGTGTCTGCAGGAAAATGTGCCCAGTGAATACAGATCACAGCAGCTGTGAGGTTACAGCACTGTGTGCCCCAGCTGGGCGTTCAGTTGCAAGAAACACGATGCACACAGCCAGCACCTCTCTGGTTTTCAACATCAGATCATGTGGTGGGCAGTTCTGAAGATTCAAAACTTGCTTTTACACCCTAAATAACTGCTGACAGCCCAGTCCATATTGCACTGCACAGACAGAACGATTTACAGAGCAAAACCTCCAGCTGAAATGCATTTAACAGCTTAGAAACATACAGAGAGAAACGGTGCCAGGAAGCGCAGTGCCGAGAGCACCTCAAATGGATGCAAAGAATGAACAAAGGAACTTTAGGGATGGTTTGAAGGAAACAAAAGAATGTTTTACACAAAAGGGATGGGGACAGTGCTGGCTGCAGGACAGAGTCCAGCTACTTTGGGGACGCTCTGTCACTGTCTGGTTGGCTTGCTGCAGTGCAGGCATTCATTTTGTTCTCCTGATACTCCCCATCCCAAAGGTACTGCAGGAGGGATCACAGCCCCTCTTATCTCCCTCTCAAGAGAAATCAAGAATGTGCAGCTACTTAAAGCAGATGCTCAGTTCCTCAACGGACTGAAACTCTTTTATCTCTGACTCATCTCCATAAGGAAGTGAAGCACATGCAAATCACATATGGGTCCAGAGCAGTGTACCTGGCAGATCTTTACATGCTCTGGAAGGTTTCCTTTAACAGCAGGCATTCATTCATTTCATACTTCTCAAGCACTAATTTACAGCTTGCTCTTGCTGAGTAATGGGGTTGGTGTAAATCAAAAGCAAAATCTGTCAGTGGCAGCTGGTAACAAAGAAGGGATGTGTCTGAAGGCAGACAGGACAGAATGCTGACCAGCAGCACCCAGCAGCAGCAGCAGGCATGCTCTTCACTTCCAGCAACTTCAAGCTGCCCACCATGAGGGTCAAATGCACTCTATTGCTTTACCCCAGTTTCATGAAGTCCAATCACAGAATTACTCAGGTTCAAAAGACCTTCAAGATCATCGAGTTCAGTAGGAAAGACAGAACCTTGCAACCCAGCCTGAAACCCACAGCAGGAAGCTGAATGCAGTGGGTCAAAGCCCTGCTTGGAGGGAAAGCCCACAGTGCTTGGGTTTAACTTCACAGCTCAGTGACTCAGGAGCAGAGGTGGATTTGGGGGAAAGGGCGTAAGTGAGGATCTTACCTGGGGATGACACAGCTCTGTGACGTGATGCCAGTTTCCTCTGATGGATCAAAACCAAAGTGCTGTCATTCCAATGCAAGTGTGCTCATTTTTGTCTCTTCCTTAGAGAACCCAACTTCACAGCGGGTCACAAACAGAAACACTGAGCTTTTAGTTTCTGTCACCTTTGGCAGGTTCAGTCCACTCATCATTCTGGTGAGGAGAAATCACAACATTACTTTGCAGAGTACAAAACAACTCACCCAGGACCAGCACTGCATTACGACCACCTCTCCTTACGATGCTGTTTTCCCTTTCCCATTTTCTGAGGCCTTCTCAATTGTTTCGCTGTTGTATTTTAGTCTTCTTTTCCTATTATGTAGCACATAATTCTTCCTTCCCTTTAGCTTTGCATGCATTTTAATATGAAATGATACTCATTTTGTAGTATCACTTCAGCAGCTGAATAATGCACTTCAGGATGATCTGCAAGACAGGAATATTTGAACGCACTTCAGATTTTATGTACCAACCCAATAAACACAGTTCTTTGCCCAAAGAGCTTTCCTAAATGGATGTTCAGTTATTAATCTTCAAATTACATTACATTACATATATCATTACATATCTACATTACATTAAAAAGTAATTTATTTTCAAACGATGCAGCAGCATCCATTTCTACATGCTATGATTACAAAGCCTCATTTTTCCAACAAGAGGAAATTTTCAGGGCCCTGAAATAGCTGTAAGTGAGGTATTATTATATCCACATCAGCTATCAAAGTACCAGATTTCACTTCCATGGAAGCAAATACTAACTCATGTATTTCAATTTGCCACGATTACATTTTCCTTAGGAGAGAGGAAAAATATACGTTTTGGAACTTTTTGAGCCACCATTATCTGTCTCTATTGTCCTGGCTGCCCAAACTGCACTACAATTTAAAAGAATTACAGAGCAGACAAAGACCAAGTTTACTATTGCCAGCTAAAAAGCACATGGAGAGTGGCCAAAGAAACCCCAACTCAGTAACTAAGTTATGCACATTTCCAAATATAAAATCCCATCATCATCAAGAAGAATGAGAACTTCTAAAGTGAAATTACCACGCTGGCGCTAAGCACTGTAAATCTCATCACCAAGCAGCTCTCACATTAAGAGAGATGGCTTTTAAGATGCCCCCTGGAATGGAGATGGCAAAACGCTGCACGTTCCTCTACCAACAGATCTCTAAACCCAGTTGGTTTCACAGCTCATCAATACACTTGAGAAGGAATAAGGCTGTCTAGTCACAACCAAGCTGAAAAAAAAAAAAGCTGTCTGACTCAATCTTTTATTTTACATTCATGCCAATCTCCTAACTGCTTAATTAGCTGTGAGGGTGTGCTATGCAGAGGCTCTGGAAGCCAACCTATTTATCATTTCAGCAATTTCTCCATCTTTGCAAAGCGATATGCAAACACCAATTACTGCTGCGATGCAGCTCATGCTGGTGGGCACAGTGCTGATGTGGCTGTGCAGTTCCAGCTCTGCAGCTGGCTCCTATGCCAGCAGTGGCTGCCCTGCTGCAAGGTGCAGCTGTGCTCCGACCCTCTCTGCCCTGGGAGGTGCCTGGAAGTGGGGTACCATGGAACATCAGTGCTGATTTCCAAAAGGAGATGAGCTGGAGCACAGTGCTTGCTGCACTGCTTGTGCAGACAGGTTGCACAGCAGCAAGGAGGAGCGCTTGGGGCAGAGCCACAACCAAGACAACTCAATTTGTTCTCCCTCTCATCAAAAGCAGAGATCTTGCCAAGCTATTTCAGCTTGTTTGCTTGCTTATATTACCACTATTCTTATTTGCATGTAACTCATGACTGACCTCAACCACCACCCCGCTGACTTGCAGGGCTCTGCATACTGAGCACGGCATTGGCCACATATGCACCTCTCCTTCCCACTTAGTTTGTTCACAAATCCACTCAGCCCAGATGCATTCAGGATAATTGACTCTCGAAGCAGAACTTGATGGGACTTGTCAGAACCGTTCTTGGTAAAAATCAGCAATAGCAGCAAATCCTTCCCCATGGATGTGACAGACGGAAGATCAATTCCTGCCTAAATGTGTTCATTGGAAGCCCAAGGACAACACATGCCCACATCTGCGGCTCCTTATGACAGGTCTGAACACAAAAACCAAATCAAAACATGCCATATCCTTCAAAAATGCTTGTTTTGGCATTTAAAACATGTCACCTGGGCTCATCTGCAGGCATTTATTCCTCAGGACAGGACTCGCCTCCCCCTAAAAGCCAGGGATTTCATCCAAATTATTCTTCCAGGCTCCTCCTCTGTTCAGGCAGAGAGCAGCATGCCTCCACAGTGTAATCATTATCTCATATATGCTTAACACAAACGAGATGAATTGCTGTCTGGAGGTGCTTCTTTCTTCCCTTTGGCTATAAAGACAAACTGAGTGACTAGCACAGCCTCAGAGTTAAATTAGATGAGCTGTATCTCATCCTAAGCAATTTTATACTAGGGGATCCCATTATGTTTCTCAGCCATCAAGCAAATTATACGGCAAAGGGACGCAAATGAAGCAAGCAGAAAGCTCAGGTCTCACTACTACCTCACTACTGCCATTCATTTCATCGTGGGAGCACTCAGGTTGTGGGGCAGCCAGCTGTGCAAACCCTGGAGCAGATTGACAGCCCCACAGAGCAGCACATCACAGAGCTGTGACACTGTGACCACGATGCCTGCAGACTTCCTGGTTCTTCTGCAGGTTGCTGCCCCTCTGTGACTCAGTTTCTCCATCCATAAAGAGGCAATGATGCTCCTGACCTCTTTTGATCCACTGGTGGAAAAACAACCCTGGCACATAGTGGAAATGCTCAAGCTGCCCAGGGCTGAGCCTTGCAGGGTTGTACTAAAAAGGTCTACCCCATGGCGTCTTTCTGGGGCTGAGCACAGTAAATAACGAAGTACTTCGGAAATGATGTTCAAAAGGAGAAGATCTACAGGGAAAAAGCTGAACTCAGTGGACGTTTTCTACTGAATACAATATCTTGGAACTGTTCAATACAAACATTTCACCAGAACAAAACTACAAAACACCTGAGTACATGTCACACCTAACAAGACTTGGTAGCCTTTGTGAAATGCCTTTTCCAACACTAACCATGCTGCCTCGAGCCGATCCCAAAGCTGCATGGACCACAATGGGACACGAATTCAAACATGCTGTCAACATCATGTCCAAGTTTCCAGCCCATCAGGCACAGATGGGGCTGTACAGTCCGGGGCCATACAGTCCTCTGGAAAACATTTTGGTTCACTTTTACCTCTGGAAAACACGTGGCTGTGTGGCCCTGCCAGCCAAGCCCCAACCGTATAACTGTAATTCTTAGGGAACTGACTTTGCACCCATCTGCATCCAACGGGCGGTTGGACTGGTTCTGAGCAGCAGCCCAACGATACCCAGAGTCAATCCAAGCTGAGGGTATTTTCCCAAGAGGAAAGCAGGTGAAAGGTCCAACAGCCCCAGGATGGAGCACGGGGATGCACTCAGCCCATGAGGAGCTCAGAAGGAGCACAACCTCCTCCTCCCCTACCCCCAGTTGCTCCCCTCAAGGCCATCACTGCACGTGAAGCTGGATGGAGCCAAGGGCAGGGAAACCAGTGTGAGACCACAGCAAGCCGAGCCCCTTCACGTGCCTTCGACAAATATGAAACGAGTTTTTCCTGACCCTAAGCATTTTCAGTGCAAGGTCTACAAGGGTGACGTTTCACATTGCCCTGGGCTGCATACGAACCCACGTGGTTTTTAAATTCCACAGACAAAATGCTGCTTTCAACTTCACATTGCAGCTCGAACATCTCCGCTGTGTCACCCCCACAACCACTTCAAAGACCATTTTCTCTCACTCTGAAAGCCTCTGTTTTACTCCAGCACATAAACCTGACTGCTATTGGAAGATGGCAGAATCTCAGAAGGAAATACAATAAAAATGAAACACACACAGGTTCTCTGAAATATCTCTAAAGGTATAATTGAGAAGAGAAAGCTCTCTTTCCATCCACACCATTTAAAGCAGCCTGCTGAATTCCACTGCAATAATACCACATATAAGTGGGGAGAAAATAAAGGGAAGAAAAGGACACAACACACTCTATTAAATGCTTCAATTGATTCCTACCACTGCTTTTACAACCTGTCCAGCTTTCTGGGAATGCAGATGCAAAGGCAAAATGAAAAAATAATTTTAAAAACAGCCATTTTAAAACATGCTCCACTCTCCTCTTTGAGGCTGAAGCCCACCTTTCTCAATGTCCACTCCAACCACTGGCAAATGTAAACTTTGCTCCCTGCCTGCAAATCTGCAAGCACAGTCCCAGGTGGGAACACCAAGCAGAGGTCAACCTGCATCCATGCAATGGTCACTGGCTGTCAGGTCTTGTAAACCATGAGCCATCACTTCGTCAGTCCCAGCCTTTGGCCTTGCAGACTGTGACTAAAGATCCAGACTTGCTCTGCCAGCAGCTGTTGCAAGCCGTGAGCCAGCATGTTGGCATTCTCAGCTGACACACTCACCCCTTCTGTGCTCACAAACCGTCATTTTCTCTTAGCAGAGCTCTTGGGTGACGTGACATCAATGCAGGGCCATCACGGGGTAGAAAGATAAATAAAAAAATCCATCTGTTTGAACAACCCACATTCAACCAACTGATTCATTTTTAATCACTTTCCAATAGAGGTCACCCAGCCAGTAAACATCTGGCTGTGGCACCTCAACAGCCTCACGATGTGAATTATCTCACAGTCAACATCTTGTCCTGCCGTATCGGTTCTCAATTACTTGTACAGTCAAGTTAGTCCAATGATCTGCTTTCCATTATAAAAATGGCAAGAGCCACAAGGCCAAAGAGCTCTTGCAAGAACTTCAGGCCTAACAGTGGAAAGCACCCTTCCAGTGGCTGTGTATGGAAACCTTTGCTAACCATAGAATGCTGTGACTTTACATCACGGTTTAGAAACAAGCTCTGCACACACCAAATATTTTACAAGTGGAACTCTGCCCCAAAGATTCCTTTCCTATGTTTGCAGAGGTGCTTTAGGGTAAACATAACTTTGTATTACCGTCCATTTTCTCTTCCCACGTGCCCAACTTCAGCTGCACATGGGTCTTATTCACATCTTTCTCTTAACTGTTTATTTTCACCCCATTGCACAGTTACCTTTTCTCTGTCACCTGATGGGCTGTGACGTCTCTCAGGAATGAGGTTGGATATGTTGTTGTAGAGGACTGAATGTAGACTGCAAACTACAAGTCAGCTCTGAAAGCTCCACATGTACTGGTTTGGAATACCTGACTGGCACATTACAGAGCATTTTAGAAGGAAAAATGTATCAAAACATAACAAAAGACCGGAATTATTTAATTCCTATAATTTACATATAATCTCAAATGAAACACTGAAAACATCAGAATATT